AGAGAGAGAGAGAGAGAGAGAGAGAGAGAGAGAGAATCCCAAGCAGGTTCTGCACTGTTAGTGCAGAGCCCGACGTGGGGCTTGAACACATGAACTGTGAGATGATGAGCTGAGCTGAAATCAAGACTCAGACACTTAACCAACTGAGCCACCCAGGCGCCCCTGTAGATAGCTATAATTAATCCTCTGTGTTATGATGGGAGGGTGAGTCTCGCATTTACCTCATTCTCTGATGGGTTCACAGGAGCCAGCGCCCAAGCTAAGCACCAATGCAGAGGCAAGAGGTTAGTGTTCAGGGCTTTACAGAAGCAGCAAGAGCCTGTAGACAAGGACTGGAGAAGTATCTGTGGCTTGAGGGGAGCAGGCATCTGAAGTGGGTGACTCGTAGACGAGCTTAGCCGTAGATTGGGTGTAGTGTAAGAAAGTGGTCACTGAGGTTGAAGACTGATCATTGAAATTATTCAGTCTGAAGAAGAGGTTGTAGGATAGTTTCCAACTGATGTGTAATTGGAGTCCCAGAAAGAGGAGAGAACCTGGTAGAAAAAAATTATGTTGGGAAAAAAATGGTCATAAACTTACCAGATTTGGTAAGAAAACAATCTACAGATCCAAGAAGCTGAAAAAACCCCAGACTGGGTAAATTCAAAGACTACCTTACCTAAGCACAGTGTGGTTAAAACTGTCGACAACTGAGAATGGAGAAAGTCTTACAAGCAGCTAAAGAACAGCATGTTACATGCAGGCGGGCAGCATCACAGCGAGCCACCAGCTTCTCATCTGAAACGATGGGGTAGAAAGCTCAAAAAATTGTCAGTCCAGAAGACTGCATCCAGTAAAAGTCCCCCTGCAAACGAATTGTGTAATAAAACATTCCCAGTTGAACAAAAGCTGATAGGATTTATTGGTACATTTGCCCAAATAGGGTTGGGAAAGCCCGGGAGTCAGCCCAGGAACCGCCTCTGGGAAAGACTGTTGTTTTCTCTAAATTTCCGAGAAGATAGGGGCGCCTGGGTGGCTCAGTCGGCTAAGCGTCCAGTTTCAGCTCGGGTCGTGATCTCACGGTTCGTGGGTTCGAGCCCTACATTGGACTCTGTGCTGACAACTCGGAGCCTGGAGCCTACTCCAGATTCTGTGTCTCCCTCTCTCTGCTCCTTCCCCGCTTGCATACACGCGCACGCTCCCTCTCGCTCTCTCTTGTGCTCTCTCTCTCTCTCTAAAATAAACGTTAAATTTTTTCTTAATTTCTAGAAGATAAAAGACTATTTAAAGCAGAAATAATATCTGTACAAGGTGCAGTTCATACCAGTTTAGAAGTAAAATGTATGCCACCAACAGCACCAAGCAAGAGCCATGAATGGAGCCCTGCTGTTGTCAGGCTGTCGTTTCTGCTGTGGGAGGCAGTAGGTATCAATCCAAGGTGACCGATAAAGAGAATAATATCGTCATCCCCAGAGAAAGCACAAAGAAAATAATTTAAAAGAAATAACAGCTTTAAGGACAATTTACGAAAATCGAGTAGAGGCAGTAAGATGGGATCCTGAGCAGTATTTGTATAACTACAGGCAGGAGAAAAGAAGTAAACACCAATGGTACAAGGAGCCCTGTCCCTGTCCGTGGTGACACCACGTGTGAAGACTGAACACAACCAGGACCAGCGGTGTGCTGCTGCAGGGTGCTTGCGTTATTGGAGACACAGATGGAAATAAAAAGGATGGAGAATGTGTATCATGCAGATGGTAAATGTGAGAATCAAAAGGAAAAATTTTTAAACTTCTATAAGAGGAAAGATTCTTTGTGATTGCAGCATAGGGAAAGGTATCTTAAGACACAGAAAAAGTACAAAAATGGTAAAGTTAAGTGCGTTAGAATTAAGAATTTCCAATCAACAGGGTGTCACAGAGTTCACAAAAGGCAGGCTACACACTCCCAGAAGATTTTGCAGCACACTTGCAAAGGATTCATATCCAAAACTATAAGGAAGTCCTACAAATAAAAGAATCCAAAAGAAAAACAGGCAAGGAATGAGCGGCAGTCCTCAGAAGAGGAAGTCGGAGTAACCAGCAAACACGCGGAAGGCGCTCAGCCTTTTGAAAACAAGCCTGAGACCCTGTTGTGTAGCCCTTGGATGTGGTGGTGCTCAAAGGTTGGACCGCCCAGAGGAGCCACAGCGCCCCCTGCGTCCCTGTTGCTGGGCGTGTGCCCCCGCCCCCATGATGTGTGAACAGGGGACAGTTTTGCAATCTCAGTGCATCTTTAAATAGCACAAAGTCAAACAGAACACTTGAGAACAAGGCAAGCCTTGAAAGCCAACAGCCATACGTTTTTGTGTTTATCATACAATTAAAATTTTAAACACCAGTAATAACGGGATTGGACTGTGTGGGTTTTCTTGAGAAAAGTGGGTTTACTGATTAACTTCAGTCTTGATAAGAAGTATGTATTATATGTATGTGAAAATCTAGGATTACTGCTCTTAGGGTTAGAAACGGAGAGAAAGAGGGAATAAGGAAACATGGTCAATATAAAGATGGGAGCCGGGGGGGAGAGAAGCAGAGGGGCCCGTGAGGAGAAGACAGTGGGAGTGTGTCCGCGTGGGTCCTTGAGGTGCGTGCGCAGGAGGGATCCATCTGTGAAAGATGCTACCTCAGGTTGGCACTGAGCCTGGCTGTATCAATGGGGCATGAATGGTCCCCCAGCCCTCCCGGAACCCCCGAGTCTCTCCTGGAGCTTCCTGAGTCCAACCTCTCCTCTCCATGAGTCCAACCTCTCCTCTCCAGTGGTGGGTGGCTTTTGTTTTGTTTTGAGGTAGTTCAATTAATGGGATATATTTAGCATGCCTGAGGAAGCAGAGCTGAAAAAGCTAACAGGGAGATGTGCCCAAGCAGCCTCAGGAAACAGAACGCGCTCAGTCAGCCACCAGGACGTGTGTGGGGCTGCAGGGCAGGCTTTGCCCCTGTTCTGGGCCCCTGCTCTTCCCTGCCATTTATTATTTTTAATCCTGTGGCGTACAGACAGTGATCACTGCCTCATTAGCGCTGCTTTAAACGTGCAGTGGCAACCATTTCTTGTAGAGGTCCTGATGGGTACTGTGGCCCTCTGGTCGTGTGAGGAGTGCAGTGGCTTGAAACAGTCCCAGGGGCCCTGTTGGAACAGAGGGACAGGTCGCCGCACCTGGCCACATGGAGAAGCCTGGGGTGTGCCACGGCCTGTCAGACCGTGAAGGAAAGGGAGGGACAGCGGTTCACATGTGTGCCTGCAGGCTGTCTGCAAGTGGAAGGCCCTTGGCCACCTGAGGCCTCGTCCCATCGGCGTCAGAAGCTCGGGGTCTGGACCCCAGTGGTACAGCCTCTGAAAACAACCCCACCCTCCTCTGCCTGGGCTCCTTATCGTTCTAGACGGCACCTCCCCTCTGTGGGGAATGAAGGTTCACTGTGGCCATGCGCTCAGGGCCTGGCACGCTGTAAGTCATGTGATTTCTCTGGATCTAAATGGCATTTGTGTTGCAGGATGCAGAGGGCTCCACCTGCTTGCACCTCGCTGCCAAGAAAGGCCACTATGATGTGGTTCAGTATCTGCTTTCAAACGGACAGATGGATGTCAACTGTCAGGTAAAGCCACGTCCTCCACTTACCGACACTCTACCTGGCTGGTTGGCCAGAGACCCCAGTCTCCTTTGTAGCAGTCCTGGCTCCCTGCCTGTTTTCTGTGGCCCCCCTTGCAAGGCCTCGGAAGGCCTGGCCTCACTCACCCTGGCTGCCGCCTCCCCAGGCCGCCCACTGGTTACTCTGAGAGCTCATCCCGCAGCGACCTCTTGGGCCACCGTAGTCTCCTGGCCTGGGTGAACATGTCACCATCTGAGTGGGGTCCCTGACCTCCTGTATGCCGGGTGCCCTCCCTCCCGTGGTGCCCATCTTCCCACCTAGTGGCTCTCAGGGTTCCAGGGCAGGGTCTTTGCGTGACGAGTAGTCCTTGGCCTGAGGAGGTCCCATGTGTGTCAAGTGAGTGAGTGACTCGGGAGAGCAAATGAGGGAGCTTCCCTCCCACTTGCTGGGGCCCAGACCCCTCTCCTCCCACATGACTCTGGGCTCTGGGAAGGCTGTCTTGGCATCACAGGCTCTGCCCCATCTTTTACGAGTGTCATTGCCTCCAGCCCAGCTCTCTGCAAGCCACCCTGACAGAGACCCTCCCCAGTGGCCTAGAGATGCGGTTCCCTGCCATGTGCCTCACGGCCCACCTCTGCTCTCACAGGGTCCACGGGCTAGACCCCTACCCTGTTTCATTTTCTACCTCCCATTGGTCGGGTTTTGAACATTTCCTCTCCTGGGCTGGGCTGGCTCCACGAGGCCGGCTTGTCCCTGCAGTGTCCCCAGTGCCCAGGCGGTGCCCACAGCCAGCCTGCAGGGAGGGCCTCGCTACAGTCATGGAAGCTGCATATCTGCCAGAGAGAGGTGGCAGCTGGGGGTGTGCAGGGAGTCGTTTGAGAGGTGCTGGGGAGGGTTGAGCTTTCTGCCACCAGACCATGAGTTGGCAGCGTGATACGCATTTCCTGAGGACTTGCTTTTCCTGGCTTAAACAAAACTACCCACGACCAACTGAGTAAGGAGAGACAGGCCTGGGTGGGTGGAGTGGTAGAAAGCCGACTGGTCAGAACCACGGTGGACCCTACAGATGGGGTCAGTCTGCGAAGACTTTCTGCCGTCTGCCCTTCAGGAAGAAGCCGGAACTGCGCACAGCCTCCGTCAGTCTCTGGGCTTGGATCGCTTTCCGTCCGCAGTTCTTGGCGGCCTGCTCTTGCTTCCTCCTCGGGGTCTGTGTCACTAGGGCCAGCACTTCCCACCAACCAGACTTCCGGTCTCTGAGGGTCGGTCTGGTCAACAGTGTTTCTGGTCCGGGGATCCTGGCAGGTGCACTCAGGTGTGCGGGGTATTGTCCTGGCAGTGTCTGTCCTCCAGGCTGGAGAGGGGCGGGGTCCCGCAGAACCACCTGTCCCCCTCAGAGCAGAGGCTTGTGAGGGTCACGCTGGGTGGTTCTGGCTCCGTCTTGCACCCACTGAGATGTCTGGGGCTATACCCGGAGCCTTAGTTTCCTCACCAAGAAAATGGGAACTTGGTCTGGCTCCCGCCTCTTGGGGCCGCCTTATAGGTCCTCGGTGAGACTGCTCTTCGTGTTACTTGTCTCTGGGAGCTGTGGTGAATTGTAGGGCTTTGTGTTTTGCTTTGTTTGTTTGTTGAAATTAGGATGATGGCGGCTGGACACCCATGATTTGGGCCACTGAGTATAAGCACGTGGAGCTCGTGAAGCTGCTGCTGTCCAAGGGGTCTGACATCAACATCCGGGACAACGTGAGTCTCTGGGTTTCGCTGGTCCTAAGCAGGTCCTGGAGGAGGATGGAGAGACCAGGGCGTGCAGAGCTGACAGCTGAAGGTTCTTTTTCTTGGAAACCTGATCAAGGCTCTGCCCTCTTTTTCCACGTTTTCAGTGGCCCCTGGACCCACTGTGGTTTCCTCAGGTTGTTTTGTGTGTTGGCCAGTTGCTGGGTATAGATTGAGGGGCGGAGGTTCCTGAGACCTGCCCGTGGGTGGTACCTGCCTATTTAGAGGCGCACCTGGATTGAGGAGCCCAGGGTGCACACCATCCCTGTGCAGGTAGATGTGTGAGCGCCGGCTCGTTCTGTGGTTGCCACCATGCACTCAGACCACGAGAGCTAAGGTGCTGGTATTGAAGGCTGGTTTTGTGGGACAGGTTTGGTCTCAGAGAATGGGGGCTTGGGGCCAAGGTCCGAAGACTCACCAGTCCCTGTGGGAGTAACCTCCTGGCAGCCTGTGTGTCAGCAGGCAACTCCGGTTAATTAATTAAGTAATTAATTAATTTATCTATGTATTTTTAAGTTTATTCAGTTATTATATTAGAGAGAGAGAGAGAGAGAGGGCACACACGCACAAGTGGGGGAGGAGCAGAGACAAAGAGGAGACACAGAATCTGAAGCAGCTCCAGCCTCCGAGCTATCAGCACAGAGCCTGACGTGGGGCTCAAACCCACGAACCACGAGATCATGACCTGAGCCCCGAAGTCGGACGCTTAGCCGACGGAGCCATCCAGGCGCCGCAACTCCAGTTAATTTAAGAGGGCATTTCTGGGAAGGTCACTGGGGACCTGCTCTGGAGCAAGGCAGAGGGACAGGGTTCCCAGGACAGACAGACGCAGTGTGCCCTGCAGAGCTATGTCCACTGTTACAGAGTGTCACCAAAAGCCATAAATAGAAAGTCTAGCCACAGACTCATTAAACTGATAATGAAATAAGAAAGCAGGTTGGCAGTAAGAGTTGATTGTTCCAAGCACACCGTTCAGTAGCGTGCAAGTCAGCGTGGAGTCTGAGCGTCCAAGGTGGGGAGGCAGGTGGCCTTTTCCGGTTCTGAACCCTGAGCGGGACAGGGCTCTCTAGACCCCCGCTTGAAGAAGGGGTGGGAGCAGCGAGCACCACCTGGTCTCTCATTGTGGCTGCTCAGCATTGGGACCCTTTCCTGCATCTGTGAGCGGGTCTCACCCTGCCCAGAAACGTGGCACACAGGCCGGGATCTGGACCTGCAGCGCGTGGCTCGGCTACGGGGTGTTTCTGTTCGTGTCCTCAGAGCTGGTGTGAGTACGATGACACCGCCTGAAAGGGACCGGGGACTGGAAGGTGAGGATAAAGGGAAGGGGTGCGGGGAGGTCCCTTGTGGCCGCAGCAGAGAGCAGTCGCGACCTGCCCTGCTGATGCTTTGTGACGTGGTTAGGCCAGTTGCGGCCGTGTGTCCTTGGGCATGGTGCCCCTCGTGCAGCTGTCTGGGGTCGGGGTGCGGGTGTGTGGGCAGCACACGGCCTCACAGAGTCCAGCGGGTGTCAGTGCTGGTGCTGATGGCGGTCCTCGGGAGTCAGAAGGATTGACGAATTGCGTGTCTGCGGGCCATATGACGACGGAACCACGTTTCACCTTGACAGTTCCATCGTCGCGCTAGCGGCAGACTGTACCGTGGCAGGTGTGCAGTGACACGTACACCTGAAATAGATGCTTGTGAGCCCAGAGTCCACCACAGCCACACCAGTGCATGACACTCCTTCCCAGTTTCCTCCCGCTGCTTTGTAGCCAGCCGCCCGCACCGCTTTCTGTCCCGTGGGGGTTCTTTGTGAGCTTGGTGTTCCGTGGGTAGATCCCTGCGGTGTGGACGCTGCTCAGGCAGCGTTGGTCTGGCGGTCAGTGTTCCGTCGTGTGGACAGATCAGCTCACTTGTCCCTTACCTGGTCACGGACCTTTGGGTCTTCTGGGTCTGGCTGTCACACGTGGAGCCGCTGTGAACACGCACACAGGCAGGCCACACATTTGCATGGCCACATGCTGTCATTTCCCTCAGGTGACACCTGGGTCCCGTGATGTGTGTGTGCTCACGTCTGTGAGGACACCGCCCAGCTTCTGGAGCGGCCACGCCCTTCCCAGTGTCCGAGAGCTGCCCCTTCCCCCTCCCCGGGCCTCAGCATGGTCAGTCTGTGTCCTGTTCTGGGAGGGGTCTGCTCACATCTGTTGCCCATGTTTTAGTGGGATGTTTATTGTTGTATCCTTCAGTTTTGAAGGGTTTAGTACATTTTGTGTACAGGTCCTCTGTATCAGATGGTTTATAAACCCTAACAAGTAAGCAGATGGTTTTTAATTTTGATAAAGTCCGGCTTCTCAATTATTTTCTTTTTTTTTTTAATTTTTATTTATTTATTGAGAGCGAGGGAGAGAGAGACAGAGCATGAGCAGGGGAGGGGCAGAGAGAGAGGGAGACACAGAATCCGAAGCAGGCTTCAGGCTCTGAGCTGTCCGCACAGAGCCCGACGCGGGGCTCGAACTCACGGACTGTGAGATCTTGACCTGAGCCAAAGTCGGACGCTCAACCGACTGAGCCACCCAGGCGCCCCAATTATTTTCTACTTACAGGTCATGTTTTTGGTGTTCTCTTTAAGAGTTCATTGCCTAACCTCAGATCCCTTTCTCCCATGTTTTCTTATAATAGTTTTTAGTTTCAGGTGGTCATTTTCATAGATGGTAGGAGGTGTGAATCAAAGTTCTGTATTTGTGTGTGTGTGTGCGTGTGTGTGTGGATGTGTAGCTGAAAGTCCTCCTTTCTCCACAGAATTGACTTTTGTCCTTTTGTCCACATGTGCGGGGGTCCACACCTGCCTGTCCTCACACCATTGCCGTGCTTTCCCAATGCTGAGAAAGTGCCACGAGGCCCGTCGAGACATTACGCATAGCACAGGAATCTTCCAGAGTGTACCCCTTTCTCCCAACCTCATGCTGTTGCTCTCAGACATTGTACTGATGCCACAGTACGTACTTTGTTGAGACTGTCAGAGATATTTGGGAAACACTGAAGAAAGTCTCAGAGATCCGCTTGTTTGCTTAGGTCCTGCGATCCAGGGTCATTTTTCTTCTGTGCATCTCACTTCACTCACTGTCCTGGGCACCGGTCTGCCCGACACCAGTGCCCGCAGAGCCCTTTTCCTGCCCTCACTCGGGGGCTGTTTCACTGGGTGTGGAACTGTGGTTCACAGCTCCTCTCCATGCTTTCCTCACACTGCCTGCATCCTCGCCAAGGGGTCTACCACAGGGGACTCTCGGGGTGCCTTGTCCTTACTTCTCGGTGTTCGGCACATCTGTTTTCTTTTGGCTGCTTTTCGAATTTTCTCTTTGTCACTAGATTTTGGCAGTTGGATTAGGATGTGTCTTGTGTTACCTGTGTTTGTGCATGGAAGGTCAGTAAGGGTATAGTGAGCTTGGATTAGTAAGGTTAGAGTTTTGTCAGATTTAGAAATTTTTCAGTCCATATTTCTTCCAGTAATTTTTCTGCCCACCCCCACTTCATAAGGGCCCCCGTTCTGTGATTAATCAGCTGGTTTGACATTGTTCCACAGCTCACCGATGGTCTTTTCATTTTCCTAAATAATTTTTTCACTCAGGATTGCAGTTTGGCTGATTTTTAAAGCCATTTCGCTGGTTTTATTGCAATTTTGCTGTGTTTTCAAGCTCAGTAATCTTTTTTTTTTTTTTTTTTTTTCTTTTTACACCCTATGATGCTGTTAATCTCCTCCAGTACGTTTCTGTCAGACACTGTAGTTGTCAGCTCTGAAAGTTTTGTTTGTAACCTTAGGTTGGATGCCAGACATGATGTTTACCTTGCTACGAATTTCTTTATTCCTGGAAATGTCTTGAGTCTTGTTGTGTGTGCAGTGTAGTTACTTGGAAACAGTCTGATTGTTTTGGGTTTTACTTTCTAGGTTTATTAGGTGGCTTCAAGCAGATCTCAGCCCAGGGCTGCTCATCTCTCCTGTGTGGGTACTGGCACTGAGCCCTCTATGCCTGGGCTTTGTGGTGTGTCCTTCTGGAGGTCAAAGGTGGGGATGTCCAGATCTCCAGAGGCCTCTTTCCCAGCCGCACAGCCTGCTGTGCAAACCCCGGCCACCTTTTTTGTCCCCTTCTCAGGGATATAGTCCTTCATCATCTGAAAACCAGTATTTCACACATTTTGACTGTTTGGCTCTCTCAGGCGGGCGGGTGAGTCCAGCTGGTCCCTCTGGCTCTGTCTTTGCCAGAAACAGAGTGCCGTCTATCGCTTCAGATACGTGGGTCAGGCCTGTTGCGACACAGCAGGCAGACCTCTGTGAGTCTGGGGCTGCATAGTCCCATGCTAGGAGGAGCCTTGGTGGCAGGGACAGTCTCAGCGTGGAATTCTGGTTATAAAATCATAGGTCCTTCTGATGAAGGAATGAGAAAAGAGGTCCCTGAGGAAATCGCATTTTGCTCTGGAGCTTGCAGATGTGTGGAAGATGGAGAGATCAGAGGGGAGGAAGGCGACTCAGAACAACGTCCAGGAAAGGAAGCCCCAGGCAAATCCTGGCTTTTCACAGAGTACTACGGAGGAGTCTGTAGAAAAGCCTGTGCCTGGGGCCAGCAGCGATTTGCCAACTGAGAGGACCACACAGTTTCTGCTTTACTTTTATGTTTCCTACGGTTCATTGAGCTGAAAGCATTGGATGCACTCAGAGTGTGGGGATTGTCTGTGAGCCCAGGAGCGTTACAGGGGGTCCCCTGGGCAGGAGAGGGCCAGGAATGGGGCGTGCAGAGTCACGTAGCCAGCACATCGGCCCCGTGAGGGCGGACACGGGGCCGAGTGGGGCAGGCACTGTGCTGAGCTCTGCCCGGGTGCCACCGAGCCCCCCGTGGCGGTGTCAGAGTGAACAGCCAGGCTTGACTTTGGTGGTGGCTCCTGTGAGAATCTCGGGGTCCCCCAGGGGTGGGGACCCTTGAGCGGTGCACACTTTGCCGGGGGAGCAGAGAGCGCTTCCAGGGCAATAAATGTTTCTGCCACCTCTGAGGGTTAAGCCCTGAGTCCAAGTCAGAGAAAGAAAAAGACTCAGACTTTCACTTCCTTGTGTTCCCGAGGAAGAGGTTCGCTAGAGGAGAGGCTCCATGAGTTGTGACGCGTGAGCTCAGCGGGCTGCAGGGCGGTCAGGGCCGCGGGTGCGCCTCGCCACCCGCAGTGAGCACGGGGCGGCCGCCTTGCTTGTCCCCAGTGTGGCCGGCTAGCCGTCGTGGGCTGTCCTGTGGTAGGCCGCTCTCCCTCCCGGCGGTGCCGCACCCTCCCCGTACCACGTTCCGCACGGGCTCTCCGGTTTTCTCCCTCTCACGTTTGTTTTCAGAACTATGGTGTGGTGCCCTAGTAAACTTGCTGCGATCATTGAAAATCGTTTATATCTTGTGTACAGCACAAATGGTTTTTTCTCATATTTGATTTAAAATTTTTATTCTGTAGAGGTTTTCGGGAAGTAAAAATTTTAATGCGGTCAAATTTGTCTACTTTTGTCTTTTTCAAATCTTACACAGGTATCGTCCTCTCTTGTGATTGTACTTCTATTCCAAAGTGAATATAATTTTAAAAAGTAGATAAAGCACAGTACTCCCAAATGTGACGTTAATAATGTGTTGTGTTTAGGTTGGTCTTATTGCAGATGATTTTTTTATTCAATTTCCAAAATATTCAGTACTGTGCATTACTTTTATAACAAAAATGAAACAAAAAGGAAGTGTCCTCGGCACTCAGACGGGTGCTCTGCCCTCCTCTTGGCGCGCTGCGCTGTCTGTCCGTGCAGGAGGAGAACATCTGTCTACACTGGGCTGCGTTTTCTGGCTGCGTGGACATAGCTGAGATCCTGCTGGCCGCCAGGTGTGACCTGCATGCCGTGAACGTGCACGGAGACTCACCCCTGCACATCGCCGCCAGGGAGGACCGCTACGCCTGCGTCCTGTGAGTGGCTCTGCTGCCGTGGCCCCTGCAGGGCTCCCAGGGTGGGCGAGGCCCTCCGAATGGAGCTCCTTCCCCAAGCGGGCAGAGGCGTGAGTCTCCCAGTCTGCGACTGAAGTCAGCATGGTTCCTTCTGGTTCAGGGAGGATCGTTGTGAAAAATCCCCAAATGCTTAGGTCAAGTTGTCCGGCACCTCCGGTCTGGGGCGACGGGCCGGCCCTGCTCAGGAGGGGTGGAGGTGCCGGTGCTGCTGCTCGCCACTCGCCAGAGCTGTTCCCCATGTCACTCACACGTGGCTGCAGTTGGGGTCCTAGGGAGCCGCTGTGCTCCCAGTGGGAGCTCAGAGATGAGGGGTTGCCCTGTGGTGGGGGCCGGAGCACCGCGCTGCCGCTCACCGTGCGGTTCTGACTCGCATCAGGCCCTCGGAGCACCTCCCGGCCCCTGACCGTGTCCTCGGCCACCTGGGTGTGCTTTACCCGTTCATCCTTGAGCGTGCTTTTAAATGGGAAAGCCAGGAAACCTCAGATACCGTCCTTAGTTCCTTACACGCTCTTCCTGACGAGAAAACTGAGGTGACTTTTGATTGTAAATGTGGGAGAAGGAGTAATGGAGTGCATTCCTGGTGAGTCAGGCTGATCTTTCTAGAAGCTCTGGTCAGCAAAGCTTAATTTCGAGATGAGTGGTGTACTCTCTATTTTTACTGACTAGAGTCACTTCATAGATCTCATCCTCATGCCTTTAAATTAAGATCTGAATGTTTTGTTGGCTTACATTTTTCCTTTTAGCCTCTTTCTTTCTCGGGATTCAGATGTCACCTTGAAAAACAAAGAGGGAGAGACGCCCCTGCAGTGTGCCAGCCTCAACTCCCAGGTGTGGGACGCTCTGCAGATGAGCCGGGCGTTGCGGGACGCAGCCCCCGACAGGCCTGTCCCGACGGAGAAGACGGTGAGCAGGTGAGGAGGCCGTTCTGGGGCAAATGGTGACACGTGGGGGTTTAAGAGTTTGAAACAACTGGGGCGCCTGGGTGGCGCAGTCGGTTAAGCGTCCGACTTCAGCCAGGTCACGATCTCGCGGTCCGTGAGTTCGAGCCCCGCGTCGGGCTCTGGGCTGATGGCTCAGAGCCTGGAGCCTGTTTCTGATTCTGTGTCTCCCTCTCTCTCTGCCCCTCCCCCGTTCATGCTCTGTCTCTCTCTGTCCCAAAAAAATAAATAAACGTTAAAAAAAAAAAAAAAAAAAAAAAAGAGTTTGAAACAAAAGCTTCTCTTCAAGCTGAGGCGTCCCCGGGCCCGAGAGCAAAGTGCCTGGCCCAGCCCTCAGCGGCTGCCCTGTTGGGGCGTCACTTGTCACCGCGAAAGGTAACGTCCCCCCTTTCCGGCGGCAGAGACATTGCTCGAGGCTATGAGCGAATCCCCATCCCGTGTGTCAACGCTGTGGACAATGAGCCGTGCCCCAGCAACTATAAATACGTTTCTCAGAACTGCGTGACGTCCCCCATGAACATTGACAGAAACATCACCCATTTGCAGGTCAGCGGTGCTGGCGGGCAGGGGGGGCGGCGGGCCTTTGGGGCCCGGGGTCCACGGATGTTTCCCCAAGAAGACCCGGCCCTCACAGCAGTTGTCTTCCACCAAAGAGCTGAAAGGCAGATAAAGATCCTTCCTGAAAACGGACCCTGTATCCTGTGTTGGGTCCCTAGCCCCCAGGGCAGTGCCGAGCATCCCCTGGTGATTGGTAGTTTGTGGGCCACGCTAGAGCGAGGAGCCCGTCCTGTGCCTTGAGGGGCCTGGCTCCTGCTGAAGTGAGATGTGTGCCCTCAGGGCTGGACCGTGGCTCAGCACTCTGCCTTTCCCTGTTGGGCAGCGTCTGGCCTCAAGTGCAGGCCTGGCAGGATTTCCTTCACGTGTCCCTGTCTCATGGCCCCACGTGTCTGACCACGCCCTCCTCTTCTCCTTCCTGAAGGCTCTTCTTCCAGAGCCCCTTGTGCAGGCTGGCAGTGTCTTAGAGGCTGGGTGTTCTCTTCTGCCCACGTGCCCTCTTCCTCAGGGCTGCACACCCCCCGGTGTCCCTGAGAATGGAGACATTAGGGCCAGTCACCTTTCTTCCGCACGGGCGTGGCTTTCAGAAAGCACGTGTCAGGTAGAGGGGTGGTTTTGAGACTCGTGAGGCTGTGAGCAGAGAACAGCTCTCCCGTGTGACGCACGGTCTCCCCACAGTACTGCGTGTGCATTGACGACTGCTCTTCCAGCAACTGTATGTGTGGCCAGCTCAGCATGCGCTGCTGGTACGACAAGGTGAGCCTGCGGCTGGGGCGCGCTGTGCGGTGAGTCCCCTCCGACCCAGGACGGTGCCCAGCCGGGCTGGGGCAGCTGGGGAGATGAGGAGAGGGCTCTGAAGGCCAGCATCCAACATAAGAAACTTAAATGCTCTTGGAGTTGAGAGTTCAGAGGTCATCGGTGGGGGTGGAAGCCAGGGTGTCCTGGGGTGGGGATGAGACACAGGCTTGGAGGGGAGACCATGGCAGATGGTTGTCTCCAAAGTCACCTTGTAAGGAAAGGGGCACGGGCCTGGGGCTGGGGTGCGTGTTCTTAGCGAGGCATGGCTGTGCCGAAGGCGAGCAAGAGCAAGCATTCTGAGGAAAGTTCTTAGTGTTCAGAATGGCCCTGGCGTGTCACCTGATGGCTTGGCCGTGGCCAGGTCCCCGTCGTGGCTGTGGTCCTGTGGGCTGCGAGGCCGAGAGTGGGCAGTGGTCCAGGGGGCACCGACCCCTTGAAGGAGGTGGAGAGGCCTATGGGCTGGTGGCCTTGCTGAGGCTGAGTGAGTTCCAGGGAGAAGGAGGGAGGCCGACCACGGCAGGTGTGGACTCCTGCTTTGATGCTTCCCATCCAAAGCATGAACATGTAACTTTATGCTCTTACCCAGCTACGAAGTTTGACCAGAAACCATCCTTTTCATAATAAGGTTTTTAGTTTGTAAAACTGTGTCGGTGTCAGTTTATTTAGCATGAGTGGCGAGCCGTGCTCGGTCCTGACTGCACGTCTGTCCCCAGGACGGCCGGCTCCTGCCGGAGTTCAACATGGCGGAGCCACCCTTGATCTTTGAGTGCAACCATGCCTGTTCCTGCTGGAGGAGCTGCCGGAACCGCGTCGTGCAGAACGGTCTCAGGTGAGCGTGAGCCCTGGGAGCCCCTCCCTGGGTGCAGGATTTTAAGCCCTTCAGTAGAGCGATGTCAGGTCTGTTTTCCAAGTTTGAAAGTGATTCTGGTTTCTCACGAAGTTCATTGTATTTATGTGTATTCCATACAGACAGGGGCACAGTGTGTTCAAGTGCATCTGCGTGTTCACAGTAGAGATGAAGAGATGCTGTCTCCTTTGAGTCCCGTGTCCTCTGGCCTTTTACAGGCTGGAGTAAATAACATGAGAGTCCTGCTTCCAAGCAGCTCAGTTGTGGGTGAGGCCCACTGAGCTGGGGCTGGGAGCCAGGCTTGGTGTGAGCACTGCCTCTGTCTCCCAGTTAACATGCACACAGCAACTGTTAGGGCCACTACTGTTTTATTTTAATACTCAAACCATTTCTGAAACATCCCGTACTGTCTGCGTGTCTCTAACAGCGACAGTGTGATGGTGTTCCGGTATAAAACATTTCAGACCACGTGGGTGCCTTGTTTTTAAGACACTCGGGGTACTTGGTCCAGGGAGGTCTGGCCAGCACCCTTTGCGCTGGCCAGGCTCGGACCCGTTACCTGAGTGTCCCCTGGCCGTGAGCCTTTCCTCTGTACACGAGCTTGAGAATTAGAAGACCTCTTTCCGCCCTCTCAGCTGTGAAGGGGATTTACGTATGACATCAGTCTAGTGTCACAGTATCAGCAGCCAGAGAGTGCTTCTGACCAGCCCACACGTCCCTGTCCCCTGTTGACATCCTCTGGGGGAGGACAGATATGCCCTTCGTCCCCAGGACCCCTGGACACACCAAGGGGCAGGTGGGTCCTCATGGCCCTGGGCCTGGGAGAGCTCCCCATCTACCCTGAGGGGCATGCCGGGCGTTAGCCCCTTTCCCCGTCATCACAGCCTAGAGGCTTGGCTAGACCTATCCCTGTGTTCAGATGAAGGAATGGGAGGGCCAGGGGCTGTGCTCCATGCGCTGGCATTCGGGCCCAGTTCTGAGGCCATCTTGCACTGACTGAGTGCGCACCGTGGACATCAGTGCGAGAGTCGCTGCTTCTTTGAACGTGAAGCTCTGAGGTGCTCTCCAGTTAAGAAGGCAGTATCTTCCACTCTGTGTGCTGCTGTGGCTGGCAGTGTAATCTGCATGTGAGCTGAGCTTTGGGGAACTTGGCAGTGAGTGGCTGACCCTGTTTTCCAGGGCGAGGCTGCAGCTCTACCGGACACACAACATGGGCTGGGGCGTGCGGTCCCTGCAGGACATCCCCCTGGGCACCTTCGTCTGCGAGTAAGTGAGTGCCTGGGTCGCCCCAGGGCTGCCGGCTGCCTCTGCCGTTTTGTGGACAGCAGAGCTGTGCCTGGGACTTGCGGGTATCCCTGAAAACCAAGTTCATGTTGTCTCCACCTACCTCACCTACCTCCTTGGCTTTTTGCTTGCACTTAGGCTCTTACCAGGTCATGGCTCATTCAAGATGGTACCATTCAGGGGTTTCCAGGGTAGGGTCACTGTGGATCCCTGGTCAGAGAAGGGGTTTTTGTGTCGCCCTTTTCTGGGTCCTGAAGTTAAATCCTAGCTCAGTCCCTGGCAAAATTTTCCAAAATGTTTGGCGACAGTTTAGAGGGCCCCACCATGGCTGCTGTGCAACCCGTCCTGCCATCAGGGGCAAGGCAGTGCTGTCTGATGTTCTCACGCACATCTTGCTGCCTGCAGGTATGTGGGAGAGCTCATCTCTGACTCGGAAGCTGACGTTCGGGAAGAAGACTCTTACCTCTTTGATCTTGACAATAAGGTAATGTGTTTGGAGGGGTTGGGGTGTAGAGCAGATTGCAAGCGTGCAGCATGGGAGCGGTAAGGAGGCTCGCTCACACCAGCCCCGCTCTGCGCTCAGGAGGCCTCTGGGCTCGTGCAGAGAGTAGCCTGCCTCTCCTGAAGGTGCTGAGCCCGGATGCACCAGCCCTCTGAAGCCCCGCTGCTCATGGGATTAGAGCCCATGGCCGTCAGAGGGCAGGGGGCTCACGGTGACAGGCAAAGTGGGAGCAAGACTTGTGTGAGGCATCAGGGGTTGCATGTGTGTCCCAGCTGCTCTCCTGGTTGTGGGGACAGTAGTTGGACCCTGGATCCAGGCTTCCGGGGACTTTTGGAGGCAACCTCAAGCTGTCCTTGCCCTACCCTGGTACCTGTGTTGTTTTCGGTTTGTGACTTTCCTGTTTAAGAACTTGCAGAAGCAGTCAGGGTAGAAGTGGGGACATGGGGCTCTCTAGCCAGAGTCCCGAGTAGCTGCCCTGTGGATGAGGACTGAGCCAGGCCCGGACCTTCCTGCCGTGCCCACCCCAGCCCTGCCCTGCCGGTGGCTCTCAGAGAGCCAGGCATGTGAGATCTGTGTTTCACGAAGAGAAACCTACATCCTGGGAGGTTGCAGTGCATGGGCACTGCCCCACACCCCTACCCCAAGACTTCTGGGGCACCCCAGTGACCCCATCATGTGTGCACGGTGCAGTGAGCCATGCCCCGCCCCCAGATCCTCTTTGTGCTTCTCCCTCGGTCTTCTGCCTTTCCTCATCTGTTGAGCTGTTTGCCTTTTATGGTTTATAGCAGTTCTTTATGTGTTCTGGGTCAGATGCTCTTTTGACATTTGTGTCTCGTGGATCTTTTCTGTCTGTGGCTTGTTTAGTTCCTAATGATGCCTTTTAACGAATGGAAGTTCTTTGTTTTGTTTGTTTGAGAGAGAGAGAGAGAGAGAGAGAGAGAGAGAGAGAGAGAAAATCCCAAGCAGTCTCTGTGCTGTCAGCGAAGGGTCTGACACAGGGCTTGATCCCATGAACCATGAGATCATGTCCTGAGCCAAAACCAGAGTCGGACACTTGACTGACTGAGCCACCCAAGTGCTCTGGAAGTTATTTTTAGTGCAGTCCAGTTTATCAGCTTCTTCCTACGTATTGTGGGGTTTTGTAACGTCCCAGTAAAGCCGAGGTGTTTTAAAGGGTGATCAAAAGATACACATCTGTGCTATTCCCCAGAAGTTACACTTGGCCTCTACATGTAGGTATATAGTCACTTTACTGTAGGGTTAAGCTTTTTTTCTTCCCCTCCCATATCTGTATCTGCCTGACTCAGGACCATTTGTTGAGAAGATCACCCTTTTCTCCACTGCTCAGTAGTGCAGCTTTTGTCATAACGCAGTGTCCTTGTGTGCCTGGGGCTTCCCTGTGTCCACGACTGTCTTGGCTGGGCTGTGCCACATTAATCATCCTAGTTTACGTCCTCTGACGCTGGGGTCTTTGGGAGTGTCTTGATCTTCTTGGTTTCCTTCAGTTTCTATATAAGTTTTAGAATCAGCTTGACAAGTTCTGCAGAACCCCTGTAGGGATTTCATTAGGGTGGTGTAACCCGTGACACAGTTAGGGGTCACTGAGGGTCTTGCCACCTTCTTTTCTAGGGTGTATCACTCCACTTGTTTGTCGTCTTCAGTTACCCCCAGTAATGTTTGATGGTGTTCTGTGGTGGGATCCTGTAGATCGTTTGTTGTATTGTTTTATCTAATAGATTTTTGATCATTTTACTTTGGGGTCAACTTTATTGTAATTAATTTACACGCAGTGAACTTTAAGCATGTGATTTTGTTTTTTACAAATGTGTGTACAGCCTAATCACCCCCACAGGCAAGATCTGGAACATTACCCCAAAGGCACCTGTGCCCTGATATGCCCCCAGCCTGGTTGGCCACGGAGCCACTGTCTGTCTCTGCTGGTGGGTTTTTCCT